CTCAAAATACTACTACATTGAGGACCCAGCCTCCAACACGTGTAGACAGACCACATCCAGATCATAGCAGTGCACCAAAGAGTAAAATGGATTAGAGGAAAGAAATACGATTAAGAACACCAACTAGCTGGGTGTGGTGGCGCACACCTATAATCCCAGCACTTGGGAGGCTGAGGCAAGAGGATCACTATGAATTTGAGACCAGCCTGGGCTACATAGTGAGTTCCGGGTCAGTTGCAATTACATAGAGACCCTATCTCAAAAAAAAAAAAAAAAAAAAAAAAAAAAAAAAAAAAAAAGAACACCAACTAGTTATAGGGACAACTAGTTATAGTTATAGTCTTTAGGGACTCTATCTTTTTGAACGTGTGACTTAACAAGAAGTATAGTGTGCACAGCCCAACAAAACGAAATGCAACTAACCCTTCAACAACATGGATTTGAACTGTGTGGGTTCACTTGTGCTCAGATTTTCTTTTTGGAGATCTGCAACAACTTGAAAAAACTCAGAGATGATCCACATAGCTCAGAAATATCAAAACCCTAAAGAAAAAATTAAGTACATCACAAATGCAAAAAATATGAAAACAACTGTCGGGCCAGGGATTTAGCTCAGTGGTTCCACAGCCTGCCTCACAAGTACGAGGTTCTGAGTTCAATCCCCAGTACCAGGGAAGACAAACAAACAAAAAAACCCACAATTGTCTATTTTATCATTTGCTACCATAAATTATATACAAATCTGTTATCAAAAATTACACAAACACGCCAGGCATGGTGGCGCATGCCTGTAATCCCAGCACTCGGGAGGCTGAGGCAGGAGGACCACTGTGAGTTCGACACCAGCCTGGGATACATGGTAAGTTCCAGGTCAGTCTCAACTATATAGTGAGACGCTGTCTCAAAAAATAAAATAAAAACATTACACAAACACAGAATGTACATAGTATCGTTCACAGTTGCAAGAAATGTAAACCAACTTAAAGATGTATATTAAACCTAACTGCATAAAGTCAGAGATAGCACATATTGTCCTGCTATAACGTCATAGCCACCCTCTGCTGCTACTGCAGTGAGTTCCAGTGCTGCAAGGAGTGTGACCCAAAAATATGGTAAATGTTTGAATTTTTTAAAATGTACTACAGTAAAAGACATGCTGTCCTTAATCCCACCCAGAATATTCCCCTTATATAGTTATTTTGTTGAGAGTATACTTAGCGATAGTATACTGTTAAGTGTGTTTATTCAAACACACTTATTGCATAGTTTTTGCCACTTTCTGGAGCAGTTCTGGAAGTCCTGTCGTGAGTGTCTTCAGTTGCGCCGTCATGGCTGCTTCAGTGTCCTGAGTCAGTTCAAAACATTTACTTTTCATGGCCATTTCGACTTTGGCAACGAGCCAGACGTTGCCCAGGGCCAGATCCAACGAGTAAAATGGATGAGCACACACAGCAATGTTTTCACTCAACAGAAATCACTCTAAACATTTTCCATCTGCTCAGAGCATCGAGGCAGCCACAAAAAGACACTCATGAAAGAGGACTTCTAGAACTGCTTCACAAGGGGCAAGAATGACGGGATCGGTGTGTGAGGGAATCACACTCAGGATCTCACACTTGCCAGGCAGGCGCTGTGCTGCTGAGCTAAGAGGAAAGCTTTTGAGGGAAAGTAATAGCTGGGTATCTTTTTTCTAGAACTGCTTCACAAGGGGCAAGAATGACGGGATCGGTGTGTGAGGGAATCACACTCAGGAACTCACACTTCCCAGGCAGGCGCTGTGCTGCTGAGCTAAGAGGAAAACTTTTGAGGGAAAGTGGCTGGGTATCTTTGACTGCAATAACTTTTTAAATTTAAACATCACTGCATATTTCAATCATACCTCATATCTGCTTAAAACTCCATGACGCTGATCCTCTCTGCTGAACAGTTTCTCTCTCACGGTGAGAGTGATCTCTTCCAGGTCTCTCATATTTTTCACCATATATGGTACATATACCACACAAAATATGCGTTAAATGACTGTTTATGTTATGATAAGCAGCAGGCTATCTGGTCAACGGCAGGCTACTAGTTAAGTTTTAGAGGAGTCAAACGTTATACAGAATTGCTGAGCAGGCTACTGACACTCCTAACCTCTGTGTGGTTCAAGGGTCAAGCACGTTTGAATTGAGGATGTCAAAAAAAAAAATCTTCAGTTATTATAAGTACATCAGACATGTGGCGATGAGATAATAGGACTTCTTAACTCTTCCTTCTTTTTCATAATATGTTGCAAGACATGACTTCTGCAATCCTTTTGCAACTGGTCAATTTGGGGACAAGCAGGAAATTATTAAGCAATAGTTGTACCGTTATGAGATTTCTTTCTTTCTTTCTTTCTCTTTTCTATCAGGGATCCAACTCAGGACCTTGTGCTTGTGAGACAGGCAGTGGCACCACTGAGCTAAATCCCCGGCCCTGAGATTTCATTTTTTCCGGCATCTATTTGCAGCGAATACATCCCAAACAAAACAAAACAAAATATTATAAATGTGAATAATTCAAGCTGGCTACTTCCTTGGTGTTTAATTTCCCATAATGCATCAAACTCTACTTCGTTCTTACTGCACAGCTGGATCTCAGGGGTACCAGCCATACTGAAAGTAATATTTTTCAAGAAGGGCAGTGTAATTCTATGGGAAGTGTGCAGGCACGCGTTCTCTCTCTGTCCTCTATCTCATGCACACTTGCACACACACAAACACACACACTTCACAATACAACTATTACAGATAGCAATACACTGTTTCCTCTACTTTTTCGAAGAAATATTCTGAGTTTCACTTCCCATCAGCCCCTACCTCCTGACCTGATAAAGTCTGAACTGCCCTGGGGACTTGAAAATACAAGAGAATGACAGAGAGCAAACTAACCAGACTGAAAGGACCCAGAAGAAAGAAGCTCAGAGGGCTCCTGCCTCATAGGACCGCTTCTTCCTCTGTCTTCCTTTCTCTTAGCTCAACACAATTCACCTCCTCAAAGTCCTTCATCACTGCAAGACGCCTGCACTTGCCTCTTCTCCCTTCCCACCCTCTCCCTTCTTCTGTTGCCTCAATTGGAAAACCTTTCAGTGATTCTTGGTGCCACCTCTGAGCTGGGAGTAAACCCCACTTCCTAATAAAAGACCTAAGCATCATCAATATGCTCAGCAAACAGCAAACACACCCTCCTCCCACCTCTTCCTCGTGGTCTCAAAATGCCTGACTGTCTTCCAGAATCAATATCCATCTACTTTCAAACTCTTTTCTCAGTTTATAGTTGTACTCTTGGAAGTACTTCTTTTGTAACACTGCTCTTTGACATGTTTTTCAATTGTTTCTAATGACGGTAAAACATTTCAGCCATCCCCAGCTTTGGTAATTTGTTGTGGAACTATACGTATCATTTTACAGGACTATTTCTATTCGAAAATTTATTTCAAGCTGAAACGAGTTACAAGATTCTGAAACGCAAACTATTTTAAGATCAGGGCGTGCAGAGCTGGGGGTATAATCTAGCTCAGTGGCAGAGCTGGTGTTTAGCGTGTGTAGCACCCTGAGATTGATCCCCAGTGCTGCAAAAAATAAAAATAAAATAAAATCAGAGAATGCTTATCAATCAAAGAGTGTGGGATTGTGAAACTTAGGGTAATGGCCTATTTCAAAGTAATATGCATAACAATTGCTTTTTCTATTAAGGAATCTCCTTTCATTAAAAGAACGCCCCCAGCTAATATCAAAATAGCAATTGGGCTGGGCGTGGTGGCACACACCAGTAATCCCAGCACTGGGGAGGCTGAGGCAGGAGTATTGCTGTGAGTTAGAGACCAGCCTGGGCTACATAATGAGTTCCAGATCAGTCTCAGCTACATAGTGAGACCCTGTCTCAAAAAGAAAAAAAAATGCAATTGGTACCAGCCTGTTGTATTTGATCAAAAGAAATCTTTAAAAATACATACAGGGATGAAAAGAAAAGAATGTTAAAGAAAAGGACCGTATAAAAAAGTTAAAATAACAAAATACACTAGAAAGTAAACCAATTCTTTTTTTTTTTTTTTTTTTTTTTTTTTTTTTTTTT